AGCCAACATATCGTCGCCAGTGAACGATGCACATCCGATCGTATTGTACTCTGTCATATGGCCCAGCTTTGACTTGATTCGTGCCTGAATTAAAAATGACGTCAGGTGACGGCTAACAAACGCAATAGTATATCTTAGTGAAGATAGCATGATAAATAAGGTTGAGGAAATAGAAATATATACGGTAGAGGGGTAGAAAGGCCCCTCCAAAATGCCTACGCTGCACAGGGCTGGCCCGCTGCAGCCCAACCTCCGCGCGCCTACCAAGCGTCTGAATTGAAGGCGGATTTTACGATGAAAAGGCTATTGGAAATAAGGGTAGAGGTGGTCAGTGGTGCAGGGATGAAGAAGAAACCATGAGAAACGGCCCAGAACCCGAGAAATGGGACCCCTTCCTTGCCCGTTGATTTCCGCATTGATGCGACTCTCATCGGTGTTGCCCTCTTCAACACTAACGCTCTCCTGCTAAACGGCTAGAGGGTGAGACAGACGAAGGCGTACCACGCCGATAGCGCGCCAACAGCGCAGCGGAGAAGGCCATGCATGTTAAATCGTCTGGGGCACACCCTCACTGCGAATCGCGTGTCGGTGCACACCCTTGGGGTCCGCCTGTCTTCCCACTAGGTACGTGACCGCCCCTGGCGTGTTTGCGAAAAGTTTTGACACCCACGTTCCATTTCCCTCCTCCCCTGATTGGCCGCCTAGCCTTACCGCAACCCTAACCCTCAGTTTGACAGCATGGTGAGAGGGGAGTAGGGTTAGGTAAGGGCAGGGTCAGGGGCAGAATTGAGGGAGGTGTCCTCAAAGAGCCACTTAATGGTCAATAGCGGGCCAATTTCGACATTGTCGAATCGCGCGTCGCGAAGCCTGACATCAGCTTGGCTGCTCTATAATAAAGGCTATACAACCGGTGCTGATGAGCCCTACTCAGAAATACGACAAATTCGGTTCCAACAGAGGCAGTCGAATCGATTTTTGGCTCATGCAGAAATTGATTCAACCGGTGTTAAAGATAATCATATTTGTTACGCAAACATAGCATGAGAAACATACCTTGAAACAGAACTTCTCCAGTACAAGTGACATTCTTGGAGCTCATCTGAAAAATAGAAGTAGTTAGCAATATAAATATCTGTACTTCCAGGTTACAGTAACTTTGACCTCAAGGCGAGGTATCTGAAACCTGCTCCGACATCCTTCACCATTCATCGCCTCCCGAATGGGGTCAACCGCCTATAGCAGAGAAGGGGTCGTTTTCGTTATCTCTAGGGAGAAGGAACCCTATATGGTAAATGAGGCGGTGCTAACTTAGGGGGGGGGGCCACGCGGCGGCGCGGCAGTCTGCTCGCCTGGCATGTTCGGAAATCCGTGGGCCAGGGGGAGTGTAGCCAGCCTAGGGGGGTGGGGGTGGGGGCAGTCACTTGACATGCGTGAAAAGCTGGAATGTTCGAGTTTACACTGTCTCGCTCGAGAGAGCCCAGGTGAGCAGACTGCCGCGCCGCCGCGTGCCCCCCCAACTAAGTTAGCACCAACTGAGGACATAATTGAGTAGTTGGAACGAGATAACTTCTTTTATGGGAGGGGGAAGAATTTTTCTACACACCTTACGAAATTACTAGAGGACTGTCAGTGACTACCGCCATAAGTGGGATACGTGTAAAATAGTGTGAGGATTCTCTTCAGGGGTGAAAGGTAAAGTGATCCCCAAACAAGAGGAATTTCGTGTATCAGCAATTTATCTGCGGTTCGCTACGATTTTTTTTTTGCCAAGTAGTCGGTATTCAGTTGAGAGCACAATGGAATTGATTAGAAAGCACTCACCGATGTTCCCATCACCTTTGCTGTGACGAATGTTTGGCACTGCTGTCGTTCAGGAACAGTGATTTGCGGTTTTTCCGCATTACAGTAATCCGATGCGCATACGCATGACTCGGTCTTCAGCAGATCGGATGCGTCCTGAAACATCGAACCTGTACTTCAGCAAGGTCTCTTGCCTCCGTGGAAATGTCACAGCTAATAGTTGCGATGAGCAAAACCCATGCACCTGTGCTTTTTATTTACTTCGATTTTACTCGATGCCGCAGGTGTAACCCAGTCTGCGATTACGACATTGACCACTGCGGGGAATAGGCTTCAGGAATCTTTGCAGAGGTTGGGAGTACAGCGACGATAGAAGAAAAATTTTTGTAGCGTGCAGCATGAAATGTGGTTCCGGTGGTTCCAAGAACACCTCCATCAAGATCATCATTCAGGCTGTTTTGAGATAACACGCGATCAAAATTGATGCCTATACAAGAGAAAGAAGTATGAGAAGTGAAGCGGGTAGAGGGTAGAGGAGGGTCAAAAAACGACATTTGGCACATTCACAACAGAAAGCGCCCTATTGACAAATATATAAGGTGCAAAGGGTTCAACGGAATCCAGTAAGACAAATATCGGTCGAGGATTCTTCACACGCGCTTTGTCAGGAGTTTCGCTCTTGACTTAGTTAGCTTTCCCTTAGCCCACACGCATCACTGCAGTTGGGCAAGCCTGTTTGCTGTCTGCGCGCATATTATATTCTGTCTCGCACAATACGGAGCATGAGACCGGAACGTCGTCACACTGCCGCGACGTACAAGCGGAGCGATCGCGTCTCTCCATCGCTGGTCTGATCGAGGAATTCCTCGACCGTTATTCACCTTGAGAGCCAGACATACCGTAACCCAGACGCGACCATTTACGTTTTTTATCGTTGTTGCTTGATTAATTTTCCTTACAAACGCCAGCACTGGCATCTCTACTTTCAACATTACAAGGGTGCCACCTTAGTCACGAGTTTTTTCTAAAGGAGGAATTCACGATAAGAATGAAGGTCAAAGAAGGGGAAATTGTAAGTTGGGAGAGAGGCTGACCTCCTGAGGGCGCTGACCAACGCGCAATTGGCAGCGAAAGATTTGACCTCGATCGATCAGCATGGCTCACTCTTGGCGCGGTTGGCGGGGTACGCCCACCGACTATCTAATCACTCGCCGCAGGTCTATACGTGGCGAGTGATTAGATAGCAGAGAGAGCGTAGTGTTGAAGAGGGCACAGCGATGAGAGTCGCATCAATGCGCAAATCAACGGGCAAGGAAGGGGTCCCATTTCTCAGGTTCGGAATTCGAAAAATGGCTTTCTTCTTCATCCTGCCTCTCTACTCTTATTTCCAATGAAGCAACTTTTCCTCATAGATTCTTCATTTAACGAACAAGCTTGAATGTCAAAGGCAGCGATTACGATAGATATTCACAGGGGTTTGGAGGAATAGTACGCCAATGGCGAAAAAAGCAAAGAAATCCGTCGAAAAATAAGCAAAATAGTACCCCTTTGATTGCCCTTTCATTTTCGACCATGGATGAGCGACGGTAAAGAACGACGTTGTTCGGACGTGTTAACCCCGATAGCCGCCATCATGCCAACAAGCATAGTGTTTTGATTGATAAGGCAATACGTGGGCAAGTTGGAAGATACAGCCGCTAGAAGGGAAATGATCATCCAAAATGAAAAGCCAACAGCAAACAGTCCATCCAGATCATCAACAAAACTAGTGGGCGTCACGTCACTGGGGGCGGGGCGTCACGCGGGTCCTGCTCAGCAACCACAGCACCTTTCGCCGTGGGAGGGCCACACATCGCTTCCTTGGCAGCCAAGTAATTGCTCCGTGTGGCGCAGGTTCTCATATCCGAGTTGCCAAAAGAAATCTCCGGCTTCGCAGTCGCTTCCTTGTAATCTAATATTTACAATGAAGCACGGGATCACCCTTTATTTGAATTTCAGCTGATTCTACAGGGAAAGTCCTGGTTTAGTGTACGAAAAACGTTCCAAAGCTACAAAATGAAGGCAAGACCCGACTCAGGGCCAAAAAAAGTAAAAATGATTAATATTTTCCGCGCTCACAAATGCCTTTCTAATTCAATTCCAAAATTAGTTTCTCAAAATCAGAGAAAACGTTTTATTAATCGATACGCGGTCAGGGTCAAGCGTGCGTTGAGGAATCCTCGACACGTCGCAGGGGGGGGGGTCGTATTGGCCCGCTGGGTGGAAGAGATCGAGCCATTTTGATGCAGTGGGATCATCACCGTCGGAAGACAAATATCAAGGATGAGTCGATGCCAGGCCAGAGGATTTCCAATGAAAATGATATTTCACCCACACAAAATTTTCGTGATTCTGAGGCGTCCGGTAATTCTTAGTTACTTCAGTGTTTTATCACCACACAAGTTAAAGAATCTGAATTTCGCACGCTTTCCAAGAGATATTTCATCTTTCAAGTAAGACCCCGAATCTGAAGGGATGTGAGGTACACGGCGCATCCGAGAAAGGGTCTAGTTGTTGCGCGCGCTTCAACTACGGCTCCTTGGACAAACAACCTCAATTCAGGAACAATCGAGAGAATTCTGAAAGTGTCCGTGCGCATTTACAGGGAGGTGTACACCATTCAACATTGCGTTAACGGACTCTTCAGGGTTAAATTTATAAACATGTAACCTTTAAAGTTGAGAAACGCTAATCAATCACTTTTCTTAGAAAGAGAAAAGCAGTGATTTCAAATCTGCTCTTACTTTAGTACATAATCGCCCTTAAAAGGATATACAGCCGTTGAAATAGTGCCAATGTAGCGAAAAAGTACCTTTCGGCGGTACTCGTGCGAAAATCCTCAACGTAGCCGTTTTTTTAATACTGGACGTTTGGAGCAGTTCTAGTAAGCATTTGATAGAGCAAATCTTCTAGTTTATGATGGCGTATTTACTTTTCGGATTGGATGAGTTTGAACGGAGTTATGGCTTTAGAAAGCGTAAAAACTCGCACTCATCACAAATTTTCCTCGTTAATTTTGCAAAAATCCTCAACGTGGCCATTTTTTGAATACTGGACGTATAGAAGCTGCTTTAGCAACGGTTTGGTAGAGAAAATCTTCTAGTTTTGTCTGCCATATTAACTTTTCGAATTTGACGAAAATGAAGCAAGTTGTTGCTTCGGAAAGTGTAAAAACTCGTGCTCATCTCGAATTTTCCTCGTTAATTGACCTAAATTTGTTATTTCTTATAACTTTTTGTAATTTCAATACTGATTAGAAAAGCTCTTCACAAAACTTCCAAATCTGCTTTCAGATTGAAAATTCGTCATATTTGAAGAAAGTTATAATCATTTGAATATTTGTTCAAATTTCAATAGTAAATAAGCTGCTCCACGGTCAACGCCAAAGTCCAGTCAACACACAGCTGGCGAAGGCGGTTAAAAAGCTTCTTTCAACTGAAGGGCTACGTGCAAATTGAGAACCACAATCTGTGTAGTACTAGAATTTGGTAAGTCTTGTGGAGGAAATAAATAAAGAACAGATGTTGTCATGGTATGCCATTTTTAGTGGCTAGTTTGTCGTTTTCTGGTCTGTTTCTCGTTTGCTCGTTTGGTAGGACTCATCAATAATGATTATTCTTTGACTTTTTCACTTTTGTACTTCTTAAACGAATTTTTTGTGGACGGTGGGGTAGCAGGGCTTTTTTATGAGCAGTTTTGGGGGAGAATTAAACAACCTTTTTCATAGTTCGGCTTTTGAAGAGGGTTGTTTCATGGACTTCGGCCTCCGGCAGAGGGAGGGGGGGGGTCGTATTTCCAAATTTTCCTCGACGCCTCGCTTGACCCTGGTCGTATACTTACCTTTGCCTACTGTAATGGTGCATTGCTCCAGTGATCGGAGGAATCATACACGAGCCCATTGATCGTCGTTCCACTAATGGCACCGAAGCGTTCACACAACCCTAAATCAGGAAATTAAATTTTGAGGAGCACAGAAATATCCAGCGGGTCGAGTAACAGCACCTTTTCTACTTCCTTTGTTCGATGATTTATCACATAACTGCATAGTTCTCCAAGGCATGTCTCGCCTTTGCAGTGAGCTCCGGAACAAACACACGTCAACTGAAATCCATCTGAGTATTTCACGAAAGCACAATCATTGATTTTAGCATATCCTTTTTCATGTTTTATTTTATCACCAGTCAGATCGCCCACACAAAGGCAGGCATCCGTCCTCTAATTCAACCTATTTTTGATCGGACCCACTTTACAGCAGTGGATCAATTAGTATTATTATCATCACCAATGATAATAAGAAGTGATGTCTAGAAGAATTGTGGAGTACGGTAGATATACGGTGATAATTGATGGTTGATGTTAGTTCGTGATAAATACTTTTTCCCGTCT